TGAAAAAAAGACAAAAAGTAGATATTTCAACCATCCCTTCTGTGAGTTGTACATGTTAAGTACATTCTGTGAAAATTTTGGAATAAATTAAAACCCGTAAAGTACACTTGTCGACCAAGATGACATCATTCTGAGCTATGAAAAGCCAATGAGAGCTTTGGTGAAAAGGCATAAATGAATTAAAAAAACACACACACACACATTTTACAAACATTAAATCTTTAAAAATCCTAAATCTGATTAATCTATAAAGTTGATTTATTGCCCTGCCCTACAGAAGCCAGACTCTTCATGACGTTGAGGCGGTACTTCAGTCTGGCATTGGAGACTTTGGTGAGTGTTGCCTATGCTAGTATTTAGCGTTTAACATGGGGACATTCAGGAGAACAAAAACATATGGGAGGATTTAACATAGAGACATCCAGGAGAACTTAATGTGGGACATATGGGGGGATTTAACATGGAGAAATTTAGGATAACTATATATGGGCGATATGTGAAGATTTAACATGAGACATAAGGGAGTACTCAACATGGAGACATCCACAATAACTTAATATAGGACATATTGGAGGATGGAACATGAGACATTTGGGAAGATTTAGCATGAGACACTCACTCTCACTCACTCAGCAAAATATTCAACTTTCAGCTTTATAATATTTGAAACAGCATAGAAATACCGAGAAGCAGTAGTTTTTGTGATTTGAAGGATGAACAAAGAGTCATTTCTGTGTTTTTTAAACAATAACCTAGAGAGACGAAAAAAGCTTTATCCTGAGAGAAAGCTAAAAAAAAAAAGCACAAATGTGAATTTCTCAGCACTACATTCAACTTTCAGCTTTATAATCTTTGAAACATCATATAAATGATGGAAAGTAGCAGTTTTTGTGGTTTGAAGAATCAATAAAGGCTAATTTCTGATCTATAAAACAATAACCTTCAGAGACCAAAAACTCTTTATCTCAGTGAGAGAAGTGAAAAATGCAAAAATGGGAATTTCCTTGTTTTTACTTTAACTCCATTCTCAGAAAGGACAAAAACAAACCTGCTGTGTCTGAAGTGACAGAACTTAGCCTGGTAAACCAGTAAAGCATGTAAACGGGTCCCTGTATTGTCTTCAGGCTGATTGTTGCGTCTCCTTCATGGAATCTGTTATGCAGACTGCAGAGAATATTTGACCTCACCTTCAGAACAGAAATCTGTTCATTTCCAGGAAAACAGCCAGAACGTTCTGCAGGTTAAACTGAGAAACTAATATTGCCACTGTTCATCTGTCTGATAGCTAAAACACAACTCAGGTGCTTGAAAAAAAAAGAAGCTAAAAGCCATTTGATACTTATTCCACTGACACATTTTAAACCACAAAACATTAAATTCAGTATCTTCTGAATCAGATGTTGAACATTTTCTGAAACTTGGAAATTAAATATGACTAAGATATTTGCAGGGAAACCAAGGAACAAAATTCATAACTCCCTCTAAAAAATTAGTGGAAACATCCGTTATTCTCTTTGATTTGGGGTCTCCTCACAATCCTTAACTTGAAGATGGATTTTCTCCTCAGAAACAAACTCAGATTTGATGTTTTCCTGTTTTCTTATGTACTGGATCACCAGGTTTCAAAACCCAACTAGAGTAAGATTTATTTCAAAGAACCGCTGGACCTCCACTGAACTGACCTTTGAATTGTCCTTCTTGCATCTTTTTCTGCTAGAATAATTTTTAGTCATGTGTGTCTGTATCTAACTTTCAGATCTGTTACGGTTCAGTAGGATGATGATGATGTCATCACTGATGATGATTATGATGATGATGTTTCAAGCATACAAAATCAATAACCTTCCCATCAAATCCTTCACTGCCATTTCTTAGACCATTTCTAAGGATGGTCTAAGAAGATGGTCTCATCAACTTCAGGAATCAGCACTGACCCAAGAAGCCGAGTCAAAGACAAAGATGAAGAAGGAACCAACTTAATGATTTGCTGTAAAAATGTACACTTATTTAAAATTTGTATTTTTCCACTGAATAACTCAACACAACACATTCTGGCTGTTTTTATTTATAGTAGAGTTATACATGTAGTGTTGAATTGGCCCTCACATGATCCAAAGATCTGGATGTAGGACATTTAAGTCCAAGCTGTAACAGCAAAAGTACAGAAACATTTCTAATTGTTGAATTGAAATATATTAAAAATAATTATAGTGCTTTAATGGACAGATAAAACAAAACAAAATAGCAGAAGTGATTAAATAAACTGATTAAAAACTGCTGCAATGAAACATGTTTTCAGCTCTGTACAACTTGGTACAAACCAAATTGTACAGAGCTGTGTTGATTTACAGAAAAACTAGACACCAGCCCTATAGAAGCTGTTCCTGGGGACACTGGTTAAACTGGTTTCTGAACCATTCAGAGCCTTATTGACTATCAATGCACTCAGACAGCCAGTGATTGAGATGCCGAGGGCTAATTTAGTAAGATACTAAATGTGTTTGAGTTCATAACCACACCTCGGTCTTATGTGTGAGTTTTAGCTACAATTAACTGAATTAAACTTGTATAAATTGCCACATCAGTTGAAAATGGTAATATTTTCAGTTTATTTTCAATACACTACTAATATTTGAGGGGGGTTAGGGAACATAGCTACAAGTTACACAGCTGGCACATAAATACTTCAGATCCCCTCTAAAATACTTTAAAATGTCCTTTTTCAATAGTTCAAACAATAAGAAAACCTTAATATTCAATTTGGAAATGTCAGCCAGTAGCATTTAATTATAGGAAAAGCTTCCCAGAATAATTTTGAATTAAATTTGTCAGAAAGATCCACAAGTACTGACAGTTGAAAAGCAGAGGTCCACTATGTCTGCATCTTATTCATGTTGCTGTGGCTTATTTTAAAGAAACATGCTCAAATTTGAAGAAGTACATCAACATCAACACTGTCAATAGATGATTCTTCATAGATAGATGCTGGCTTATATTTTACAAATTTTATGTTTTTGTGAAATTAGTCTTGAGAATAAGCCTTCTGCATTTAATGAACATAATTTGTTAGTAGGGCTGCTGTTCAGGGTAAAAATCTATTTTATTCTGCAAAATATCCCAAGGTCTGAAAAAGTGAGGAGACTTCAAACAACCTGTGAAGATTTCAGCCCTTATCATGGGAATGTACTGCAAAAAAATTGTTGCATGGAGGATATTTTGTATGAATGAACCATAAGAATAGTTTGTTCTTTTTTTCCAAACTTCTTAAAGGGAATATTGTGACTCACAATATTGCCAGTTTAGCACAAGGCAAATTTAATCTTTTGTGAATGATTTGTGTTTTTAGTCTTTAGATGCAGCTCGCCCTTTGAATTTGTGCTCCTCCTTTTTATGTTTGTGTTTTTCATTCCCCGGAGGTTTGTCTTTCTGCTTAAATAAACTGATTAAAAACTGCTGCAATGAAACATGTTTTCAGCTCTGTACAACTTGGTACAAACCAAATTGTTAAAATGCTATTTTGTAAGACTGGTGTCACAACAATTTGTTGTGCCAACCAGACCAGAGTTAGGAACCAACTGTATCTTCATTCTGGTAATGTGAGGAAATATTTAAAAGGTACTTAGGAGTTCTGTTTTGACTCAAATATCTCTGAGTTAATAAGCCTTTTGATAACGAGTGATTGATGCACAGACAGGACTTATGAAATGCTCTACAATTGTCAGGAAAGCAGGCAAAGATGAAAGAAAACACCTTCAGAAAACTTTGAGAATTTCAAAATCTATATAAACTTAATTATCTCAAAGGGGGAATTTGTGGTTTAGAAAAATTACAAAGAAAAGTACAAATGCAATTTTAGAAATATAAAAGAATATTGTATTTCTATAATTGAACTGGTTTGTTCTGCAAACAAACCAGTTCAATAAATTTAACTATAATTAGAAAGTCAAATCATTTCAGGAACTTTATCATTAAGTAAAACACATTATATAAAGCAATTGCACAAGACTGGCTTTTCCAGCCTTTATTTCTGTTAATTACGAGGATTTTCCACTTACAGATTATGGAAACATAACATTTAATACTGAAATATGACACCAAACCAATGGAAACATTTTACAATAGAGAAATGTGGGTTTAATGAAAAGTATGTTTAATTTCCTTAACTGTTTCAGTTTAACATCAATAAAATATGTTAAATTGTCTGTCTGGGTGCAATTGTTTATTTATTTATAAATATATAAAGAATTGTGCTGATTTCACTCTTTACAAGTAGAAACATCAGCTAATTTAAAATGCAATAATAAAGCAATTGAAGTTGCTCAAGAAGCCCGATTTGCTTTAATAGAGACCTTCAGCTCATCTACCTGGTTGGCGCCTCATTGATAAGTTTTCTATGGGGTTTATGGAAGGTCAGTGAAGGTCTGCTGGTACAGTAACACCAGGCTTGTTAAGCAGATTCTGATTCCTAGGGCAGTGTGGGCAGCTGCCAAGTCCTACTGGAAAATTAAACTTGCATCTTCATAAACCTTGTCAGCAGAGAAACCATAAACTCTAAAATTGCTTTGACTTTGAACTTCATAAAATACACATACAGGACCAACATTGGCAGATGACATGGCTCTCCAGATCATCACTGATTGTGGAAATTAACCTGACACCAAGGGGATTGGGAGGGGATCGTTGCTTAAAGAATTAAAGGAATTTATGACACATCCTGCATTGCATCTAGCATTACTCTGACTCACCAGAAGTGGCGCAATAACTGAAAATAATTTATTATCTCCCCAAATCCCTTGAATCTTCACGCGGTTTTTACGCGCAAATATACGAACTTCTGCAAATAAATTGGTACAGATTCAATTTCACCCCCACAATTTACTTTTCTTTCAGCTTTCAAGTCTTTAGGTCAATGTTCTAGAATAAATCAGCAGTTTGGATCCCTGGCGCTGCGTCTCCATCGGCTCCCTGCCCTGCTGCGCCTCATTGCGCGACTCCTCAGTCCAGTTGCGACATCAGCTGCTAATAGAGGTGAAGAGGTGGGTGTAACACTCTGCTCTTACCTCCGCCTTTCATTCACTGAGAAGATCGTCAGAGTTGGAGCTGGGCAGCACAAAACTCAAAGGTGAGTTTCTCTTTCTTCGCTGTTCTTTCTCCTTTAGAAATTCGTTTTGACACATCAGATGAGCGGTGTAGGCATATGACGGGCTTATTTTTTTTCTCTCCGTTTTTTAAAATTAATTTAAAAAGGGGTTGTTTTAAAGTGTCTACTGCAACACAAAGAGTGAGATGTGTCCTCGATGATGAGAAGAAATCTGAAACACGTTTAAAACTTCCTTTTCTGAGCGTTGGTGAATGTGTCAACTATCTTGTGTCAGCTGTTCACCCACTGGTTTAGTATGTCATCCAGGTGATATTTATGGAAAAAAGCTTGAGCTGGACCTTCACTTTTCATGCGAGATTGATGGTGTTTCTCCGGGTTAATGACTGGAACTAGAAATATTCCACTCATCTAGAAGAACCAAAAAGACTGTCGAACAAGATGGGTTTTGACTGAATGAAAAGTGGGCGGTTCGAGTGTTGGTGGCTGGAGCATGCATCTCTATTAAGGAGTCTCATATAAATAATTTGTACAAAATCCTCAAAGTCAGGCAAAAACTCAGAAAACCTAAAAAAAAACAGACTAAAAAGTCATGGATTTACTGGTAACTTTCTCATCAGTTACAGAAACATGGAGGTTTATGACTCGGATGAAGAAGAAACAGGTCAGAGGTCACTTTAATACGGAATTGCAACCCACATATTTTTGTAAAAAGCACAAGCAGAATAATTTTGCATTAGCAGAAGACATTTTATGTTGTAAACTAAATAACTTGTCAGCCTCAAACATCTGAATACTTTATTGGACTGTTACGTCAGATCAAAAACAGAGCCTATAATTGTGAAGTGGATGTGAGGTTGTGAAAAGAGTTTTACTCATTTTACAACTGAAATTTCAAAAGTGTGCTGTGCATTTCTACACCACATTATGGAGCCATTCGTCATGATTTTTGTTTTCTAAATACCACCTTTATTACATGTGTACAGTTTGAAAGTCTTGTCCATTCCTCTTTGCAAAATAGCTCTCAAGTTCAGTCAGGATGAAGAGCTTCCTTAAAGATCTTCATTCAGATATTTCACAGCTCCTAACAGGTTTACTTTCAGGATTGTCCTGTTGTTATGCTCCAACCATGTCCCTGTCAACTCTGACAGTTAACAGCTTCCCTGCTGTTGGGAATAAATAGTTCTGTGTTTTCCTCTCTTTCTCTTTTACCTATTTGCATGCTGGTATACACACACAGAGCGCATTCACACAAAGGTAAAGTTAAAGGAAATTACATGTTAGGTAACACCCTCCTTAGGGGATTACTTTGATAGAAGCCAAAAAAAAAAATGAAACTATTGTCAGGAGCCATTATGCAATGTGAGGCCCTAAGGATAGCATGACAAATGGACAAATGGATTTGAGAATTAATAAATGGAAATTTTGAATAGAATTCACTAACTCTTCTTCAACCTCATACATCAAGAACCTAAATTGAGAAAGAATCATTCTCCACACTGTCCTCTGCTGAGGAAAAGCATCATATATTCAGGATAAGGTTCATTAGGGTTTTCTATCTGCCATGCACTATTTTGCATGTAAGCCAGAAATTCTTGTTTTGGTTTCACTCGAATAAACTGCCTTTATCTACATATCTGCAGTATCTCTTACATGAAAAACATAAAACTGGAATTTTTATAACTTTCCTTCTACTGTTTTCCATAAAGATCAGCTATTCAGAGTTCAGAGTCAATACAGGTTCTGTGCACAGATTATCTCACCTGAGTTGCAGATCTTTGCAGCTTCTCCAGAGTAACCGTGGGCTTCTTGGCTGCTATTTGGATTAATGTTCTCTTTTCCTGGTAGGTCAGTTTTGGATTAAATAGAGTAGAAATTAATTGTCCTTTTTTGGGAAAATTCTAGTGTTGGGGGACTTGTCTTGTTGGTTTGTATGCACTACTGTGTTGGTCTGTCACATCAGTCTCAGTAAAATTCATCAACATTAGTTTTTTTATGTGAAAATAAAAGCAAGTTTACTGAAAGCATGCAACATTTTGGTTTCCAACTCGCTGTTTGGAAATCAACAAAACTATATTTTGCTAAAGGAAGAGAATAAAGGTTCTCTACTTGGAGTGATTCTGTCAGACTTTCCTGAATAGCGTAATATTTCCCACTGCCATTCCCATAAAATATGTATTACCGTATTTTCCAGACTGTAAGTCGCGCTGTACTATAAGTCGCATTTTTGAGGGAAATTTATTTGCTAAAAATCCAACACCAAGAACAGACATGTCATCTTGAAAGGCAATAAACAACAACAGGCTGAAAAATTGTACGGTATGCTAACGTTACATGACGCATGAACAACGAACTGAGAACGTGCCTGGTATGTTAACATAACATATTAAGAGTTATTCAGATAACTATAGTGTAAATGACATGCTAAAAAGTTAACCAAACCACCCATGTCTCTCCAAATCACTAAACGCAATAAAATCTTCATCCTCTGTGTCGCCTTTAAACAACACAGCTAACTCTGGAGGTAGCTTCTACAACACACATTATCAATAGGCCTAGAGTGCACTCTTGCGGTTTAGTGTGAAAATAACATGTGATATAATATAATAATGTGTTAATAATTTCACACATAAGTCGCTCCAGAGTATAACATAAACTCTCAAGTTATCTGTTTGCATAATTGGTGCTTGTTTCAGTTTTTTGATATTTGATAAGTATTCAGCTCTTCTGGTCTTCAACAAGATGCAACATCCAGAGAGTTCAGTGAAATTAATTAATTTGTTCTTTATTTAAAAATTGACATGATTGCTATTGTTTTGCAAACCAAGAGTTCTTGATGTCCCTTGAAATTTTATACGACAATCAACATTTGATAATTTTGAGGATAATGCAGTGACAGATAAAGGCTAATATTAACATAAACAGAAATAATTATACTGTTCCCTTCTCTGTGTACTGTTGTACATCCCTGAATTTTTTTTCTCAGACTTTTTTTATTTCCAATTTTTATCTCTTTTTTATTTTTTGCTTATTTCATACCCTCTTAACTTTTGTTATTGGTTGTAATAAACGTAATTCTAATCTAAACCTTAACCCAAAACCTCTTCACGCAGTTTCTTGCAACTAAATTATGGTGGAGGTACCAACAGTTCAGACATTATGTCAAGAGAATCTTGTTTTTCAATCATGCTATACTCTTATGAAAAAAAAAACCATAATAATAATAACAGACGGTTATTGTTAATCATTGGGAAACTTATCAACAGCTCATGTTTCCAGTGATCCATGTAGGTTGAAGTTTTCTGCCGACCAACTCCAATTGATCTGCAGATATGCAGATTATTTTTCAAAAAGAAAAGGTTTTAGTGTCTCTAGCAGCCTTTATTTGAGAGTGGTTAGACAGGAAAGTGGGTAACGAAGCGAAGACATGCACAAAGGTCATTAGGTCATATGTGGGTTGTGCTTTGCCCCTGCACCACCACAGATCATCATCCTTAAATTCAGAATTTATAGTAATTCTAGATCTTGCCTGATGACCTTCTCTACTGGTAGGGATCAGAAGAGAATAATGGATTGAGTTGATATTTTCACAATCCCAGTTAGGGTTTAACTGGTATCCATGCCCATGTTCCAGGAACTGTAGCATGGATTATTGCCTCTTAAATATTTTACTGTGACTTAAAGCAATTAAATCACAACACCTGTGTTAAATTTAGCTTTAACATTGCTACCAAATGTTGGCTATGAACTGATATTAAGATAAGAGAAATCATAGCTGAATTCAACAGTTAAAAAAGAAGTGTTTAGGAACTAGTGTAAAGTTGCTCCTTTACACTAGTATTCTTTTCTTTGCATGTCCAATCAATGGGAATGATTGGACCAGTATTGCTGTACACAAGGGATACTTTATGATGCTAAAGTCGGTCTTGACTCTGTAGCTAATTATTCACTAAATTAAACAACTTTCGATAAAACCTGCACTGCCTTTGTACTGCTTCTCTATTTCAAAATTGTATATATTCAGTCTGGTCAGACCTCAACTAGAATATTCTTCAATAAACAGTGTGGAAGAGTTCATTTAAAGCACAGTTTGATATATGGGCACCTTTCTAAAATACAACAAGAAGTCTTTTGTGTTTCTTCTTAGCTTTTCAGATCGAGAGAAGAGTGAAAACTATCTGTATTAAACTGTTAATGGAAGAGTATTTAGTTCATTTTTTTCTAAGTTTGTTAAACTGAAACACATTGGGTTGCAGTAGGGACTTTGTTGGTTTAGTGTTTGTAGGTGAGTCAGTAGATGTCGGATTTTACCCAGTAAGCCATTGACAGTTGCTCTACGACTATTCACAGTGTAGGAATTGTGGATTTTTTGTTGAATTCATTTACAAGGTATTCAGTAGTTTTTTTCATACAGCATATCTAAAATGTTTTTAAAAAATGCAGGTTAGGTACCTGAACTAACTAAACCCATTACTTATTTATGTCAGGAATCTACTGAACAAGTTCAGCTACATAATTTGGTAGGCATGTTTTGTGTAGAAACAAATCTACACAAAACTAACATTCTTTCTAGGAGATGGTTTTGAGTTATTGCATCCAGATAAAGTTAACACATATTTTTTGTGCTTATAATGTTGTGATATCAAATGTGTGATGATTTGTGGTCACTTTTTGTCATTTTACCTGTCACTTTCTTTTTTGTGTTTTCAATTGGTTGGAAAATAATTACTTTTTAATTAATTGCCTGTCATGCAAAGTTTAGGTGAATAATGATAATTGGAGTTTATTAAAATAAATTCAAAACAATAAACAAATCTGGAAGTACCACAGTTAAACCAAGTAACTTGGAGCAAGCTGAAGGAACAAATAGGAAATTAATAAAAGGGAGCGGGTTAAATTATGGACAATGGGCTGGTGCTAAGTAGAAATAAGATGCAGCTGTGGGGAGAGAGCATGAGGTAGGCTAAAAGACAGAGAGACATACTGACAAAGAGAGAGAAATGGCACAGTGGAGCAAGGAGAAGTAAACAAACTGAGAACCATGTACAGCATGAATCTAAATGAATAAAGAATAACTGAATACATGATCTAACCTAAATAATTAAGAACAAAGTAATCTAATGTCAGAAAAAGGCAAAGGCTCATCTAAATTAAAACAAGGAAAGAGAAAAGAAACAGAAACTGAGGAAAAAACAGTGACTACAAAAACCCCAGTGTTTTTCTGGGTTATGTCATTTACAAAACACAACCTTTAAATGAAGGTTTCTACAGATTTGTTGTTGATACTTTGTTTTCTTTCAATAAAATAATATTCTGCATTGAGCCTCACTGCCTCCAGTGTCATTGAAATACAGCTCTGTTCTTTGTTATTCAGTCTCTACTACTTTTCTAATGAGTCTGGTTCTGGGGAAAAAGAAATCTAAATATTAAGAAAGTTTGCTGCTTTGCTTCAGAATACAGGTGTAAAAAAAAGAAAAGAAAGAAAATAAAACAGCATAAAGCAAAAAGCACCAGGTGAAAAGCTAATATGTTTTATTGATTGTTACCAATCTTGTTAATAAATTAAATGAAGGAAAGTCTCCAACAAAAAGACATTACTCTCATCAAAGCTCCTTTAAATTATTACCTCAGATGTTCAGGTTTTAACTTGTCATACCTGAAAGGTGTGTTTTATTGTTTTATCTTCATCCAGTAGCATTCAGCTTGTTTAAATTCACTCCATGTTGGTATGTTTGTGTTTCGACTGGTTTTATTAGTTTTTATTATAATGCTTCGACTGAAGGTCATGCTTGCTCCCTTTCTTAAGTAAAGCTGCATATTCCTTAATGTAGAAGTAGAATTTAACACCCAGAATCACATTAGTAACACACAAAAAAAATGATGTGTGATTTTTCACTTCAGTACGACTCATTGAATCCTCTTATTTTACATTTTTGTTTTAAATAGACCCCCATCTCCATTTTATTGATCAGTTTAAGCTGTAATAATTGAACAAAAAACTTTTCTGCTAGTTTATTGTCATTACTCTTAAAGGCAGCTACATGTTGAAACAAATATGATCACAGGCATTTGTATTCAGGCAAGAATTCAAGCATTCTTGCCTGAATACAAATGCTAACAAAACCAAAATGCCTCAAATGATTGTTAGAGCTGCACTTTCATATTTATTAGTTAATAATATACTAAAGGGTATTGTGGTTTAAAGCACTTCTATGGCTATAAGAATGCAATAGTTAAGCAAATACTGGACCAGTTCCAGCATCAACCTGAAGAAAAATCATGTGGTTAAGATGGAACCCAGAGTCAGATATGACTTTTGACAACTGGGTCATCTAAACATGTTCTAGCTCCTTCAAAAAATGGGATGACAGTGTGTTGGAAATATGAAAATGTAAAAACAGAGCAGGTATTCATACCTCACACTTTAAAGTAATAAGAAAAACACATTTACTGTTAGCTGTTACCATTAGGTACTCTAGCTAGCCTCAAAAACAAAATACTGGAATAAATAACCACAATATGATTTTTACATGTAACTAATGCCTTTCAAATAGATCTCAAATAAAGATAATTTTGGGTTGACTTTTATCTTCTTTGTCCAGATGAGCAACACTGAAACAAACATGAAAGGCATCACTGCTACTCTCCACCTGAATGGCATCCCTCCAGACAGGCTCAATGAGGTATGTGTTACTTGGAAAAGGAAATAATCATCAGTTAGAAACAAATAATTAAAGTGGTAAACACTTATTGCTAAAATGAGCTCCTTCTTTTACCATGGTAGTATGCCAACAGGCTGTATTTTTTGTGTAAACAGCTTCATGGAGTTTTGCCAATATTTACAAATACCAACACCAAAGCTGGATTCCAAAGCAGCAAAACTCCTAATAAGATAAAGCTGTGTTTAGAACGTAATAGATTACTATTGTCATTTATGTACTTCACTAAAAGTACATAAAATGTATTTTTATCTCATCTGAATGTTTACCTACAAAGTTTGAAACTACATTGCAGATACAGACAAATTAATTAGATAATCTTGCGAAGATTAGTTAGCTACTACAAAACACAACAATGAGTATGTACCCAAGTTTGCCAACTTGCTTCTAATTCATGGGAAAGTTGGTTGTAAAATCATTTTGACATTTATTAACTACACAAAATACCTAATTTTTAAAATGTTTTCTAATGATGATAATGTGAAAAATAAAAATAAAATTCAGAGAAATTACTGAAGTCCCTTTGTTTTAGTTTTTATGCCAAACTTAGCCATTGTGTCGACATCAAATGATAGGGCTTGTAGTTCACATCTGTTTGCTAATGATAAATGTTCCTGTTTTACTTTCAGTTACAAACAACTGTCACAGCAAGTATTAGGATATTTACAAGTTTAAACTTAAGCTTGTATAGCACATGTACTGCTGTAGCAAAGTGAACTGAAAGAAGAACTAATGCAACTGTATTTTGATCCTGTCATATTTCCATTCTGCTCTCTGTGACTGAGGTCACGTAGTGGGAATAGAAACTCTGATTGTATTGGGAACTCAGTGTTTCTGTCGGGGGGACCTTGTCTGATTCCTAAAGAGGAAGATCAGCTGCTTCATTTCCATTATTTGAGAGGAGGTGACTTTCATTTTTATGATCAGAAGGCAGTTTCCTCTTTATTCACAGAAACATTTAAGAGTCACAGACATCATGAGACATCCTAAATTAAGCCAAATTTAGTATTGTTAGTCTTTTACTTAAATCTCTATTTTTTAATGTATTTATTTGTGTAAAAAAATAAATAGAAAAATAGCTAAGATAATTTTACTTGTTTATATAAATTAGTTGTTTGAAAATAACTTGTCTAAATTAAATCAAGAAATAAACAAATTGTAAAAAAGTTAATGAAAGATGAAGGTCATTAGAGGCCAAGAAGGACTACGGTCCTAAAAAATAGATAAGCCGAAGACATTAATATATTAAATATTTAGTTTTATATATTAATTGATCAGTTTTTAACATGCCAGTTCAATTTCTTTTAAAAGATATTCTGCAGAGCCACTGTAAAAGTTGTTTTTTATAATAGCCAGACACTTTTTTTTCATATTTGTATAAAATCACTATAAACTATGAACAAAGTAAAACATGTGAAAATGTTTTATTTAAGCACAAATTAAATATTCAGGAGATAACACAATCAAACAGAAACTTCTGTAGCACAATTCTTTCCTAACTGATTTAAACTTACTCACATGGAAAATATTAAACTGAAAGTACTGAAGCATGTAAAACAAACTAATAATAAAACTGAACAGTTTCTCTCTCATTCCAAATGATTTTCTAGGTCACATATGAAATCATATTTTAATAATGGAAGCCAGTGGCTCTAGGGTTAACCTCGCATTGCCTGTGTCCTTTGGATTAAAATCTGGATCTAGCATGTAGAGACATGTTCTAATAAAACACACCTGTGGAAAATTACCAGAGCTCCCATTGCTCAACACAAAGACAGGAAAAGTTCAAAACCTGAGACTCCTTAAACTTGTATGGCGTTTGCATATCATTGATGTGTTTATTTCAGGGTTCTTTTGTTTATAAGGTTCCAGTTTAGGCCTCCACAAATATTACACAACCTGACTTTAAACTGTATGTTTGCTGCCAGCTGTAGTTTCCTCCTTTTGTTGTCATGACAACACATTCTTTCTTCATGCATGTTATAATCTGTCCTCAGCTTTATTCTTGACAGTTTTTTGACCGGTGCAGCAGCGCCAAAGCAGTTGAAACTTGTCTTATGGGGAAAAAGCATACAATGTCAGGACTTCAGATGCCAACTAAAAGACTTACCTTTATACTTTCACATTAGACGTGGTCTCTGTGTTGAAACCTGGAGGTTTGTTTTACAACATGGTCCTCAGGTTGGATTAGGAGTTGTGCCTCACTGAGGATACAAAATAATTTCTGCTGTTCAAACCTCAACATTTGATGCTTTTAATAACAATAACTGAGCATCTACACTTACACCTACATTTAACATGAAAACATATTGCCTAATTTCCCCTTAAAACTTGAAATATTTACTGGTAGTCACATTACACTTGTAAATTTCAATATGTTTTATTTTCAAATGGAAGAAAAAGGAGAACATTAAGGAACACACATCATCATGGAGGCCAAGGAACACTGAGCTCTGGCGACATGTCAGGAGACTATGGTTTTAAAACATTAAACCCTCAAAAATCCTCAGTTCAATTTGGACTGACAGGTCAAGAAAGAACAACATTATTGGAACAAGCAACCAGAAGGTCCATGCTAATTCTGCAGGAGCTGCACAGATCTCAGTACACTTAAAAAAAAGACTAGACTAACTTACAACTAACTTCTAAACAAGATATAGGACCTTGTTTTAGGTTAATAACGCCTTAATATTAATGACAAAGTACTAGTTCCATTGGCACATTATTTCAATCAATATTAATGTGTTTTTGACTTTAAAACAGGGTAATACATTTTGATGAGTTATTGTTTTGCCTTATTTTAAATGTAAGATGTTTAAGTTTTTCCATTGCATGATTTGTCCTGATGCTGATATTTCTTCTTAACAATACTTGTGACACCAGGCAAGTATTTTTTTTCTGCTTTTAAATGAATTCTAACTGACTTATAAATCATTAAAGTAGAAAAAGTTTCCACTATCTTTCCAATTCATCTGTGGAGACACATGTGGAGTCTGACAGCAGCAGAAGCAGATGATGATCATAAATAAGCTTCTGCTGTCTTGTTTTACTTTAGTTCCATCTTCATCAATGCCTTTACTGCTCATGAATGTAGTTTTTTTTTTTTTTTTTTTTCGTAAACAGAGTGTAATAGAATGTTCCAGCTCTGACGGATATGATAAAAATAGAAAGAGAAGGCTGAATTGTTGCTGCCATCTCCAGAGGATCGTTACCTCACTGAACCAGCTAGGCCTTCTTCCTGCATATGCCATCTCTTAAGTTTTTCACAAAAAGCTCAGACAATTGAACTTCAAATGGACAAAGACAGCAGGGAAACAAGCAAACTGTTCCAAATGGACATCATACATTCAGTGACTTTACTTAACATTAAACTCAAAAGTTTTCATTATTTTTTCTAGTCTTGTTCTTTTGCATCACTGTATTTTAAAACAGGCAAAAATCTCAAAGGATACAGTGTTTTCCAATCTGTGTAAAAATCTAAATATTTTCTAGTTCATGTCATGATAACCTCTTCATACAATTCTGTATAGAAGGGTGCCAGTTACTGCTCTCTGTTTTTAGAAGATAAAAGCTATATGTCTGCATGTGAGGTTTGCAACATTGTGTTTTAAACACTCTGCTCAGAAAGGGCCACAACTGCAACCTGGTAAATCCAGACTCTTGAACGACACCTCGCATCAAGGGACAAGTGCTATGAATTAGTCATTGCTATTGCACTATGCAAACATGGGATTGCTGTTTTGTTCAGTTTGTCTATTTCAATATGTGTCTGCCCCTACCAAATAAACTTAAATTTGATTTAAATTTATGTTTGCCCATGTTGTATAATGTACCAGTCCAACGCTAAGAAACTTCCCGGAAATTGCCTTTGCTGTGAACAAGCATCCTTTACTGTGAAGAGAGAAGTGCTGATCCAAATGAGCTGGCTGTTAATGATAATTAGATATTTGGAAGCAATGTCAATACAGAACAGCTTCCTCACTTCCTCTGTTGCTACTGCTAAAACTACAGGGAGACTGCAATTCTAAAACACGTGGCACTTTATACAAATACCTGAAAATTTATATGAAGGCATCTGGTATTTGATTTGGATTTGGGATTTAGAACAAAACATTCTGAAATATGAATGTGCTAGATTGAAACCAAGCATTGGATGCTCTGGATGTGTGTTTGAAGTTATCTTCCAGATTAAAAACCTGTCCTGCTTATATCTCCTTCCATCTTCTCAGAAACTGATTAGCTTCCAGTATCATAAAGCTACCACCACCATGTGTCACTGTGGGAAAGGTGTGTTCAAGTTATTAGTTTTCCACACAACAGCCAAAAAGTTCAGATTTTCTGTCACCTGATCAGAGCACTGTCTTTCAGATGTTTACTGTGTCCCATCATTATTTGCAGGGGACACAGCCTTCTACTTAGTTACCAAGAGCATCATGGCTGCCTCTCTGAAAAATGCTGTATTTGGTGATGCTGTTTGTTCTCTAACGTTCTCTATCAAACATATGAAGCCTTCACAGAAGAGTTAAACTCAGATAGGCGAATGACAAATCTGGAGGCGGTTGGTCTGGATTCTCTTAATGTGTATCAATTTAAGACCCGCTCCTGAGAGAAGCTACTGTCTGAGCCCTTCTTTATTTGAAATCTTAAAATGTTGAAGAACATTTCTGTTTTCCCTTTTTTTTGGTCCACTACTTCATTGCAAGCCTTAACGTGAACAAACTAAATTGTCGCCAACTCACCATGCAGGGCTTATTTCTAAAGCAGTGCTTTGCTGCTATCTGGTGGAGAAATGAACACTTCATCTGAACACTAACTTATTTTTCGCGCTTGCGCTATATTCGTATTTATATTTCCTCACTGCTTGTGAAGTTGTACATTTAGTAAAGTATGTGAAACGGAGTCTGACAGTTTGTTTGTTTCTCTGTGCAGGTAATGAAGCACTTGAAGCCTTTCCATCTTTCTCTAGAGAAGCTGAATGAAGTTTCTGCTCGATTCCGGAAAGACATGATCCGAGGTCTGGGGAAACACTCGCATCACAGAGCGGCCGTCAAGATGCTGCCCACCTTCGTTAGAGCTACACCGGACGGGACTGGTACGAGTTTTACCTTCGCTCAGAGGCATTTGATTTCTCCGTTTATTATTGTATACTGTTAATTATTGTTACTGTATTTAAGATAAGAACATTCGCAGTTAGTTTATGGTAAATATCCTTATAACGGATCAACTTTCCATGTAATGTTGGCAAAGGAAGGAAAGTAGCAAAGAAAGATGATAAATAGGGTACAAGAAAGAAAGGGGGGAAAAAACGATAGATCTGACATAAGGATGTGGGGAAAGAAAGAAAATATATAGAATACAAGTAAGGAAGGAAGAAAAATGGGTAGATAGGATATAAGGATGAAAAATGAAAGAAAGAAAAATGGTGAGTAGTTAGGAAAGAATTAAAAAAAGAAATACAAAAGTCATGTTTAACATAAGGAAGGATGAAGGAAAATGGACAGTTGAAATAGGAAAGAAAGAAAAAACACTAGAAAGGAAAGACAAATAACAAACTCAAAGGAAGGAGACATGAAGTAAAAAAGAAAGAAGGAAGTTGGAACACTAGGAGGAAAAGAAGCATGAAATGATAAAAAGAGGAAAGAACACAAGAAATGTGGAATATAAGAAAAAAGAGATGGAAGGAAAATGGGCAGTTAGTACACTAGGAAGGAAAGATAGACGGAAGGACACTAGGAGGCAAGGCAACAGAAAACAAAGAAAAATAGGACACAAGAAAGTAAGGATGACAGGATGAAGATAGTTCAAAAGGAATGAAGGACCAAAGGGGAAAAAAATACAACAATAAATGGAGGTCACAGCACAAAGAAGATGGAAAAACACTGACAAAGAAATTAATTAAAGAAGGGAGGTCACAAGGAAGAATGGAGGGCCATGAAGGGCACAACATTTTAACAATCAACAAGGGAACAAAACCTGGAATACAGATATCTTTCCAAAATTTTATTTTCTTTTTCCGCAGTTATCCAGACCTGGAAAACCCTGGAATCAAATTTCATAACATTTGAATCCACATTGATTAAAAGCCAAACCATCACCTGTACTTTGTTTCCTGCATGCAGAGAAAGGAGACTTCCTGGCTCTAGATTTGGGTGGAACAAACTTTCGGGTGCTACATGTCAGAGTGATGGAGGAGGAGCAGAAAATGCTGAAGATGGACAGTCAGATCTGTGCCATCCCTCAAGAAATCATGCTGGGAACCGGAGAACAGGTAATTTACATATCCAGCTTTATTAATATCTGACTTTTTAAATGCAACTAAAAGGAAAAGTATGGAGTAAGGCAAAACCAAGACTTATAAACAAATGAAAAGAAATTGCAACAGTAATATGGTTCATTTGGGACTCAAAATTCAACTCCAGCTACAACAAAACTGCAAAGAGAGAAAGTAATGAAAAACTAGTGATCAGAGAAAAATGTGCATCTTGAGAAACATGCTTGTGAGACAGAGCTCGACCATTGAGTTTTTTTGCATGTCGTGAGAAAAAATTTGTACTGAAATATGAAATTTACAGGGGTACTCTGTGATGTAAGGCAATGTCTCTCTTGTGACATTACCTTAGTAACAATAGTCTGGCTCACAGGCTGTTGCCTGTGAGTCAGACAATAGTCAGAAATGTTGGGTTTTATAGACAAATAAAACTGGGTGTTATCAGTAAAGCAATATAAAATGAAGCTTCCGATAATCTAATGCAGGGGTGTCAAACTCCAGTCCTCAAGGGCCACTGTCCTGCAGTTTTTAGCTGTGCCACATCTACAAAACACTGTTCACATCTAAAAGTTTTGCTTCTGCCCTCCAGGTCTGGAGTCCTGGCCCTCCAGGTCTGGAGTTTGATACCTGCGATCTAATTTGAAAGGAAAATAAAACAGGAACTAGGCTGGAACCCTGTGCAACACCATAAGTGGCTGCAAGAACAGAATATCACTTTTTCTTGCAGCACTGAAGAAAGAACACATTTCTCTGTTTTTGTGGCTATTAATTGGCTTTAAGCTAAATGTTTGTGTGTTTATGTCCTTCCAGCTGTTTGATCACATCGCAGCCTGTCTAAATGAGTTTCTCGACTCTCAGAACCTGAAAGGACAGACTCTTCCACTGGGTTTCACCTTCTCTTTTCCTTGTGAACAGAAAGAAATCGACAAGGTTTTAAAGCTTCACACTCTTAAAACCTGTTGGCTTGTACCTTCTCACAGTTGAAGACTTTTTCCACTGATAATATATGATATCATTGTGTTTATGTGAGCAGAGCATCCTGATCCGCTGGACTAAAGGGTTCAACTGCTCTGGGGTGGAAGGACAGGATGTGGTGAAGCTACTGAAAGAGGCTATCCACAGGAGAGGGGTGAGCGCATAATGCTAACTAATCTCTAAATATTCTGACTTTCTTCAAAATAATTTTGCTGCTTTTGTCCTCTTCTTGATGTGATTTAAAAACTTTTCCTCATAAGACAGATCCAGTCTAACACAACGTATATCATTTCCTATACAGGACTATGATATCAGTTCAGTTGCCATGGTGAACGACACAGTGGGTACAATGATGAGTTGTGGATACCGGGATCAGACCTGCGAGATTGGGATGATCATTGGTAAAGAAATCATCTGTCCTCAACTAAACACTGATCAGTGAAGAAAATAAAACTGAAACAAAAAAAAAATAAATTTTAAATCAGAAAACCTACAATAATAGTAAAAATATAATGTGATCAATAAAAAACAAGAAAGAAGTGCATAATTGTGAAATGGAGGGGCAACATTTTATGGTTTTTAATTTTTTATAACTGAAAATCTGTTGAATATGTTTGTCTTTGTGGCTCTACAACGTTTTCAAAACGCTTCATTTCCAAAGTTACTCAAGTAAATGTGACTAAGTGAATGTTAATTACTACCCACCTCTTGGTGTTGTAAACTCTTAACCTGGGGAACAAAAACTTTAACAATTCTCAGCACATTAAGGGAGTTTACTGGTCTGATCTAAAATAGCTTTAGATTAAACCAGTAATCTTAAATTTGCCTCTTCAGTTTTATCAATGAAGAGGTTCTCCTATAACCCTCAAAACAAATCATGCAAGACAAAAGCAAAGATGTATATACAGATGCATCTTTCCAAAGATATATCTGTATATAGAGTTACAGATACATATTTGCAAAAAGACCTAAAAATGACATATGTTGATTACAAATTATAAAATAATGACAGGCAAAAATGAAGCAAGCCTAAATGAATTTATTAATTTTAGGTGCTGTGACCTGTGCATGACTTCTCTTCCTCAACAGGAACGGGAACCAATGCCTGCTACATGGAGGAAATGAAGAACGTGAAGCGTGTGGAGGGAGAGGATGGACGGATGTGCATCAACACAGAGTGGGGTGGCTTCGGAGATGACGGCTCCCTGGAAGACATCCTGACAGAGTTTGACAAGGTGGTGGACAAGACTTCAATCAACCCCGGAGTCCACACGTAGGTGCTAGGTGCTATTTCAGTCATGTAAAAATATTTACAATTTTCTTTTTCCATAGTGACAGTCTTTTTCTTCACCTTCCTACAAAATAGCTGTTAATATGTAGAACGCTTAAGGAATATTGTTGAATATTGAAGTTTGAGTAGTCAAACAAAATCTTTTTTTTTGCTCTTCTCAAAAATGTCTCGATGCATTTTTTATGTAATACCAAAGCAGCATGTTTAGTAGCTGGGAGAAGATTCTAAAGATGCACAGAAACAGTTTTATTTTTCATTGTTCATTATCAACAACAGATAGGTCCTATTAACAATTGGACTGACAAACATCTGCTGCAGATTTTTTCCCCCAATTTAAAAGGCAGATCTAGTGTATTCTTTGCAGCCCAAACTATCCCAAGATCCCATGGGTCAAGAAGGAGATAGTAGACAAAGGAGATAAATACTCTTAAAAACAAGTACATTCAAATTTGCTGGTTGAAATATTAAACGTTTATGGTGTTGTAAAATCTGACTGATAAACCATCTAATCGCATAGCAACTTACTGCCAGACTTTGCTGTCAACGAATGGCCTAAATGACATAAGTTTCAAGTTTTCCACAATTTCTTGCAAATAAGAGAAGCTGACTTGCACATTATAAAAACAAATTTCAAAAAATGAAAAAAAAAAATATATATATATATATCATTACTTTCTGTTGGTATACCACACTGGTTAACAGGCATTGTTGGTAATTTATCTTACATAGAAATCAGAATTGTCAAGTTTTAAGTAGCAAAACTAATCTAAAATGACCAATAACAAAATAAAGCATCCAGCTTGGAACTGAAGATAAGTTGAATTCAAAATCATTTTCAGATACAAATTTCAGCTTTACTAAACTATTACTTGTTTCTGATTCAGCCATCCAGCATCACAACTGTTTATTTTAAGGCTTAATAAAAAGTACTGTATTTTCCAGACTATAAGTGGTACTTTTTAGTAGCTTGACTGCTCCTCTGATTTATATTCACGTGTGTCCTAAATGTTTTTTTCTCTTCATGATGCATTTTTTGATTGATGCTACTAATACTCTGAAGTGACTTTTATTCCCAAAAATACAGTAATACTTCTGAGTATCACTAATGGCATCCCAACTCAAAGCATAGTTTGAGAATGATGTAAAACATAAGGTTTCAATATAAATTGCTTAACCACCAGAGGGTAGCATATCACAAAAAATGGGTAATCTGTCTCTGTTCTGTTCGGATGATGATGGGTTGTCCTGCAGCTTTGAGAAGATGATCAGTGGAATGTATTTGGGGGAAATCGTTCGGCTGGTGCTGGTGAAGCTGGCGGAGAACAAGCTGCTGTTTAAAGGAAAAGTGTCTGAGGCCCTGTGTACTCGAGACACATTTGAGACAAAGTTCATCTCTGAGATTGAGGAGTAAGTGTCAGTAAAAATATATTCAGAGTCCTTATTAACCAGATAAGTTGACTATTAACTTCTTTATTATTTTTTTTCTTTGTTGGTCGTTGGCTCAGCCCAGACAGTGGTCTGGAAAATACCCAAAAGATTCTGACTGACTTGGGTCTGACGTCGGATTTGCCTGATGCCCATGTGGTGCGACTTACCTGCGAGACCATCTCCTCACGTTCTGCTTGTCTCTGTGCCGCTGCCTTGGCAACCATCGCCAACCGTATTCGTGACAACCAAGGGCTGCCTCATCTGAAGACTACAGTGGGAGTGGATGGGACCGTCTACAAAAAACATCCAAAGTAAGACACAAGACGAAGAGCTTGATCTGTCAGAAACTCTCAAAGTGATGCTCTACACCTTTCCTGGCCCTTTGAAAGTCTTTCAACTTCAGTTTTTAAAATTTCCTACCTGGTTATGTGGCATATCGCATTAGCATATGTGATGCATATCATAGAAATACATATCTTCTGTGAGCGTAAGTGTTGCTCACAGAGCTGATGTAAAAATAGGAATTCATTAATCATTAAATTCTGTAATTAAAAGTCAACTTATGTTTCAAACCAGTACCTCTTTGATTGATGTCCTGTCTTCCAACTGAGATATCTGTGTTAGCAGTGACAGTGTTTCTTTCTTTTAAGCAATGCTATGTTTCTGCTCAGAAAACAAATATCAGAAACAGATCAAATTGATCAGAAATGGTCAGTAAGTATTAGTACTTATTATGTAACATCAGAAAACACCATAAATACTCTGAAATATTGAGACACTTTGCTTATTTTATGTCCTAAATAGCTAAATAATTAATGGTTCCAGTGCTTAGACCAATCAAAATGCTCCTGATAATGCCAGCGAACCAGTGACGATCATCAACAATCTCTTATGCATCACTGAAAAAAAAAAAAATCTTGTGCCAGTTGTCAACAAACAAAAGTTTTGTGTTTTTAAGCATTGTTTTTTTTAAGTCTGTATATTTCCAAAGTTAGAGGAGAAAGTTGGTCAAATGTTCTGTTTTAAGGTTTGTGTCATATAATTCTGAAATGTTTATAATCCTGAGCTTCACGAGTTGAGGGATTGGTGTATTTGTTTATGTGACCATCTGACCCAGTGTTGTGTCAAACATACCCATATCTGAGAACATAATATGTTCTCAGATATCTGAGAACATAATATGTTCTCAGATATGGGTATGTTTGTTTGAGTATTTTGTGTCAAACATACCCACTTTTCAGATTAATATTTTACCATTTTTGCTACTTGCTAATGTACCTGGTTTGATCAGATACTGAAAAATTCTTAACAGGTGAAAGCAGATGCTTGCAAACATTGAATGAAGACATATCTTTTTTTTTTTTTATCTTATTGTATGATGTTAAATCAGATCAAACCATTCTTGTTTTGGGTCAGTTACAATTACCAAAATCATTTATATTTGCTAAGTTCCACAATAGGAGAGAAACAATATGTCAGAGACTCCATCCATCCATTATCATACATGCTTATCCCTAGTGGGTTCACAAGGAGTGCTGGTTCCTATCACCAGCAGTCGATGAGCGAGAGGCGGGGTCACCCCTGACAAATCTCCAGTCTGCGGCATATAGCCCAATGTGCACACACACCACACACGAGCACCACACACACACACACACACACCCACACACACACACACACACACACACACACACGCACACACACACACACACACACACACACACACACACCCACACACACACACACACACACACACACCTACAGAGAATTTAGAGAGACCAATCAACCTACCAGTCATGTATTTGGACTGCAGGAGGAAGTGGAATCAAACACAGAATGTTCTTGCTGCAAGGCAACAGTGCTATCAACTGCACTACTGTGCAGCCTATGTCAGAGATATATTTATTTGAAAGACATAACTTTAGTGTATGTGAACTTTTGGTTTAAATTGTAATTGGTGGATCAGGTGTTTAACTGATAAATTCCAGAGAGAGATATAAGTCTGCATCCTTTCTGCATTTATAAAAAGTTATGTTCAGAAAAAAGTGGTTTATTTCATAATTGACTTTCCTCTGTCAGAGTCTCCAAAAGATTCAGCTATGTTGACACTCTAAATGTCTCAGTTACAGTGACAAGCTCCAGAAAGCAGTGCACCTCCTTGCCCCCAATTGCGACATCAAGTTTCTTGTTTCGGAGGACGGCAGTGGGAAAGGCGCTGCCATGGTTACCGCTGTGGCTCAGCGGCTTGGTCTCCAGTCACGGCTATTGGAGGAGAGCGATGGCGAGGAAGATGAAGAGGCTAACTGAGCACAATTTAAGACATATTCATTATTTAACTTGTATCTGAGAATGTGTAAAATCCCTGCTGTACTTTTATCAATTTATAAGTATTATGTAAAACATGATACTTCAGTAAGAAATTGACAGGTAGATTTATTTTTGCTTCAAATTTTATACCAAAAATAAAGGTGCACATTAACGATACTAATAAATGTTGATCCAATAATGTGTTTGGAAGATGGAAATATGCACTTATTATTGTTGGGCAACTTTTTCCCACCAGGGGGCATTGCAATTTTTACTCTAACCTTTAAAACTAGATGAGTTTAAGTCTTTGTTTCTGTTTTGCTCTGGTTTCCTCCACTTCAAGGCTTTGAAGATCCCCCCAAAAAACCTTCATAGAGAATCCCCCAAGAACTGTGTGAAGACTAAGAAATGAAAAGGTCTCAGACTGATTAATTTGAATACATTGAATAAACAGACGAAAGTTATGAACATGCATATTGACTTTACAGAATGATTTTACTTTGAATCACTTGGCAAAATTTTATATGATCTTCCAACAGTCAATTGAGGTGAACGTTGATAATCCAGTTCCTGATATTCACCATGGTATTAAGTATAATATTAAGTAAGTGTGTGACACCACTGGAATGAGAACAGCATGTCAGTAACCTCGCATTAAGAGAACTAACTGGCCTGACCCATCTTCCTAAGATAGGTGTGAAATTGACACACTGTCCCAGATATACCTTGTAATCAAAATTGTTTGTTTTCTTAAGTTGTGCAACAGGATTTATTTTCACCCTGCAAATGACTGATTGTATTACACAAAACATAATTGGAACCAAACAGGTTACTAAATAACAAAAATGAAAACTGTCAGAAAATTGGGAACCGTGATGACTAATTAAGGTTACTAATTCTTAAAGCTAAATTCAGGTGATCATGTATTATGTTTCCTGCTCGAAGGAAACACAAGTTATACTAGGTCAAATAATATTTCACAAGAGATATGTTTCTGTGGAATTTTCTGTGATGTTCAAAATGTTTTGCATCATCAGGTGTGGCTGCTAAACCTATCATTTTCAGGTACACAGTTATCTAAAGAATCTAGTCCTAAAGAATCTAGTCCTATCCATAAGTGACCCAACTACAATAGCAAACATTCAAAACATCTTTAGTTATTGGTGTCATTGCCAAGTTTGTGCTGCCACACACCTGAATACGTATGAAAAACCAACCCAAACCGCGGCTTTCTCTGATGTTTGTCACATTTCATTGCAAATGAGTTAAATTTACTTTACCAGTCAAGTCACAACAATATCCAATCCAGAGTTTCTCAAAGAAAAGTCCAACAAATCTGATTCAAATCTATCTAAAGCCCTTCATGACAACCCAACTCATTCTATTATCCAGTTTATCCCTGGAAAAATACATGAAATAAATTAGTGCAATTTATGATTTGGGGGTTTACCAACCTGAAGATGTTCATGACAGAAAAGAAAGAGCTTTATGGTTGGCTAAGATAATCATGTTTTCTCACAAGTAAAGATTACTTAAATCAGTTAAGTTAAATTAATACTAATTTAAGTAATTAAAGTAATTATTTATCTTACTTTAAATAATTAAAAACATAAATTTGCGTACGGTATTGAAATATTGTCCAGGGACAAAAGAGTTGTCTGTTTATGATGCCTTTTACAATTCAAAACGTTTCCCACACTGTTATATCACTCTTTTATCAAGCATGGGGATTTGCATCATACTTCTATAGAAACACAGTGGCTCTTTGTAATGCTGGCAAAAACTGTTGTGACTGAGAAATGTTTTTAAATATTTCCAGCTTTTTTTTTTTCTGTTTCTCTATGGTATAGAATTTTACAAATGATACAACAAATTGTTTGAGTTCTTTTGTTTTGTTGTTAAGATAAAAACTGCATCTTATTTCTTAATTTTTTTATACATTTATGTCTCATTCAAGAAAATCTTTTGTTGTTTCAGGCAAGTTAGACTTTTTTCTTTGTTCTAAAACCTAAAATGTAGTTTTTCTTTTAACTATAATATTGAATTAAAATGTTTTAATTCTTTAATTCATAACTTTAATGATACTTTGAAGTTCAAAACTGAGCAGATTTATGACACAATCAATATTAGAAAACTACTCATCCAAAATAACATTCTAATTAAGTTAAGTTTCAGAATGTGGCTCTCAAACAGCCATGACTCACTGGTAGTGTCAGAGGTGCCGACTAGATTGTGGTAAAACAGGTTTAGTTTGAGAAGAGCAGCTGAAATTACCTCCAAATTTTATTATTCGTTTGTGGAACATTTTTACCTTTTATAGATTCTGCTTTTGGGCCAGATGAAGATTGCAGTCCTCTTTTGAGATCTTCCATCTGAAAAGGAATGTGCAGCGACTTTATTACTAACCATAATTTCCTCTATTCCAATTTTTCTTAGGATGTCTTTTAAGGAGCATTGTGGAATAATCAATTGCATAATCCAACAAATCAAAGGAAAAGGCAAGACTGAACCTTTACAGAGAAATGCAGCCCAGACTAAGCTGAGAATGTGACTGTTATCACAGGGAGTCAGCTCTCTCTCTTTTGACCCTATCCAACTCTGTATTACAACACAGAAAGCAAACCCTGAAGAAAACAGCAAACCTGTCTAATTTCATTAAGCCCAGAAGATCTTGATGAAACTTCCAGTTAAATTTTAAAGTAAATTCCAAAAGGATATTTTAATTTAATTTAATTTATCAGGGACAGTGCACATTAATGAACAATCAATACTTCTGTACAGACTGTAAATGAGCCAGATTATAGCATAATTGCTAATTTTCATCTGTAGTCCCAAGTCAGGAAGACCCAAACAACAAAAAGACATTATAAACATACAATCAAGAAATCACATTAACAAACATTCAGGAAAAGTAAATAAAAATTAGTTAAAATGAGTATTTTTGACAAACTGGCAAACTTTCAGAATGTTTTCTTTCAAATTTGGTACCAACAATGCTAACATTTGGAAAGGTTGCTTACATACATAGTAATTGAAACCAGATTTGAACATCCACTTTATCTCTTGCATTTGAATGAACCATCAGAGTGCTGAGGGGCGACAAACTCTGTCTTCATCCGCAGTCCCAATTCCTCCAGCAGCAGTGGAGAAGAGAGGATCTCAACATCAAGTCCTGTTGTGCCAACTCCAGTGACTACCGGACTCATCTCTCTCGGTCCGATTTGTCCATAGAACCTGGTTCCACATCAGACACCATAAACCTCCTCAATATTATTTTGGTTGGATCCTTTAGGGGTGAATTGGTGGCGAGGATAGATGCGGTGGACCCAGGATGAAGAGCAAATTATGGTTTTAATAATAAATCATGAAAAGTACAGAACTGCAGGCTGCATAGGTGAGAAATAAAGCAAGGTATCAGACACTGGCAGACGCTTGATAACACTAGACAGGAACACAACAAAATGACAAGACACAACAAGGATCCGATGAGGAGCAGGTGGCAGGTGGGGTTGAGTACACAGAGTGTAATCCAGAGAAAATGAGGGACAGCTGGAATCGATTGTAGTTTTCTGGCCGATCACCGATTACCGGTCTATTATTAATCCTGACCTGGCGATTCCGATACAATTTTTTTTTTTTTTTGTCTAAAATCTTGCTTGATGTAGCAAGAAAGTTGATGAAGTGCCAACAGTGAGATGACTATTGTTGCTAAACATATAGACCTGATCTGTTGGGCCAGACTGCTACTCCAACCTCTCTCACAGCAGAGCAGAAGAAGGTAACACTTGATTTAAATACCTTTGCAGAGGTAGATAAAATCAAAACTTAAATAAGCTTCACATGTAAATATTGGCCGATCACCAATTTCCCAAAATTAGGGAAATTGGCACCGATAAATCTGTGCATCCCTACTGGAAACAATCATGGGGTAGACGCAACACACACAGAAAACCAAATCCTCACATCAGCAGAATTCATAAGTTGGATATTAAGTGGTCCAACACAGTACTGAAGAACAGCAAGACCAAGGATAATAAGTGTTATATGCCGTAAAAACAACAAAAAAAAAAAAAAAACAGGGGAGAGAAAGTGTTATGCTACACACAGACAGAAACAAATAATGTGTGGTTAGTTTGTCTTCTATTTTCATTCCTCTTCCAGACACTCATTTCGCTTGTGTTTTCTCTTCCATATGTTTTGGTATAAAGTGAAGACCAAATTAAGCTTTCTGAAGCTTGCATTGGAAATGAAGCTTCATTACACAACAGTGGACCTTTACAATTGGTGGCTCTTGTCATGTCCTTGGGATGTCTGATTAGTAATTCTTAAATAACAGGCAAAACAGACAAAGGGAGTCAGGGGAAGCAAAGGAATTAAGGTTGGGGATAAAAATCAGCGTCCATGTGGCACCATCCCCAGCACTGTTCACCTCTGATGGCAGAACCCTGCCTCAGCTGCCACCCCTCATCAGTTTGATCTGGGAATGTCTTTCCTGTTACGTAAATCTTCCACCACTCCTTCCAAATGCTAAGAGTCATATGAGCACATACAATACAACAGTGACAGGGTGGCGGCCACTGGATTTTGCACCATCATTCAATAACTGAAAAGGCAACCAAAAGTGCAACATAATTCTTGGTTCCATCTCCATAAAAAGAATGTTTTTGGCTACTTTTGGTTCCTGATATTAGTTTCTGTTATTTGGTGAAGTACTGCTATTCTATGTGAAGGTGAACCCAATATGTTGTCAATGTTGTCAAATAATCAGAAATCAACAATTGACATGACTGCTGACCAGCTGGAAATGTGTCACATGGTAATAAAGCTTCCTACTGATAAATCTGACGAACAGAATTTTAGTTTTGGATTTTTTTTAATGAGTTCTTATTACATTTGACATGGAGTTTTTTGACTGTTTGTTGCTATTTACACATTACTCCAATAAAAGTTCACAATAAACTATATTTAATTAAAGAAAATGATAAAACAGTTATATAAAATAAACTAAAAAGATTATGTTCAACATATAAAATCCATGGGTTTAATATACTATTTAGTTCTCATGGTGATACTGGTGATAAATCAATGCCCACAGAATTAAATATTTGTATTTCAGAAGATTATATTATATTAAACTGCTTCAATTACTGAAATAGTTTAGTGACTATTCATGTGTGGAACTGCGTCATCTGTTATGTCACTATTTATTGTGGCTGCAATGCCTGTTGACATTTTTATACTATGATGTTTCTTTCAGCCAACTGAAGAAAGGTTTCTCCCTGGGAGGAACTAAAGGATCTAATTCCTCAATATTTTTAAGAAAGATATTCTGAAATACAGAGTTTCTTCTTTGAATCTAGACAACACAAAATATAGGAAAAATAGGAATAAAGGGTAATGAGAATAAAAGTTCTCTTAAATATTTTATTTTATTTTGTTTTAATGTTTCATTAAAGGCACAAAATGTTTGTACAGCTCACATTACATACTAAAACATTTTTTGAATTAAAACAGTAGTAAAATATCTTTAAAATGGAATATATTTCCATAGATGGATTGTTTTTCTTGATGTAACAGTTATCAATTTCTTCCAAATTACTGTTTGAACCCAAAATATTTTAGATTTAAAGTCATGAGTTGGGCCACAAAGCAGCTCGTCAGCAATTTCAGAAGAATTTCATTGCTGTGACACTGATTCATGGATCACTGAGAAGAAAATAAAAAAATGTTAATATTTAAATCTACCAGACAGGTTTAGAATTGAAAAAATGACCAGGCTGGTTCCATGTTTTTTTGTCAAACAACAAGGGCGGAGCCAATCTAGAACAATGAAAACAAAGACACAAAATATTTAGAACTTATTTAAGGACAGTCTGTTTTGGTGTTGGGTAACGTAATGATATGTTTCATTGAAGTGAATGACCATTTTCCATTATATACTGCCTTGTATTAAAGGTGTGTTAAGGTGTGTTGACATGTTTTCAGAAACATGTCAACAGAACAGTCAAAGAAACAAATAAAAAAGGAGTTTTTGGGTTGTGGCGCTATGAAAACAGAGACACCTGACCAATGAGGTCATCTGTCCAGTATATAAAGTGCAGCACAACTTTGAAGTTTAGTATCAGAATCCAGGAGAACTCACCAGCAGGATTCATCCGAACATCACCATGACGCAGATTTTTTCTTTGACTCTCATCTGGGCACTCTACAGCACAGGTAACATTAGCTATAATATGTGTAATTTTTATTTAAGTAAGATAACATCACAATTAGACACTCCAGCTTTTTTCAGATATAATTAACCTTGTTTTTCGACTAACAGACAAAACATGTTGACATTAGTCTTTTTTTTATTTATTTGTCAAATATTGGACACAAAAAGTTACAATTTTTACCAGCAGAATTATGATGCTTTTTTATGATTACTGTAGAAGTTAATGTTGTTGTTGGCCTTTTAATAAGTATGTGTCCTTCACTATGTTTCTAGCTTAAACTGGTTCTCGAATAATTAAATTCAACTTCTTTGTCAACTTGCTTTTTCTCTCTAATGCATTCAAATATTTTCTTCCATCAGAGTATATTGTCGAATATGTATTTTAACAAAGTTCTTCGTTCTTTAACAAAGTGGGATGTTCATAATATTCAACTGTTCACTATAGTTCTGTGAATCCCAATAGAAAAACAAATAAATGTAAAACTCTTTAGCTTCCCTAAAACCTAAGCAAACTTCAAAACTTCTGACATATTGGGTACTTATATATATAGTTGTAGTTACAAATTATTCATGCAATCTTTTTGTTGAGGTATTTACTTTGACATTTGAATTTCCTGTAACAATGATATCTGCTTTAGTTTTGTAAAGTAGATCTTTCACTTTGTAACTTGTTACACATATTTCAAACAATTATTTTACATTGATTATTTTCCCCAGCTGGAGCCCTGACATGTATGACCTGCACAGATCAGTCATGTTCAAGCACAACATCACTAACATGTAGCTCAGAGACGATGTGCATAACAGCTACCATACGAGGTATTGTTCTGCTTATGTCTCATTCAACGTTTTGGAATAAACTGCATGTATTTTTTATATAAATAAAATTTTTATATAAATAAAAACCACTAAAGTGTTCTTTGGCTCTACAGCTACTCAACCTGGAACTTCAGTAACACAGCTCTACAAAGCCTGTGCAGCTTCCTCTCTGTGTCCGGCTACAGGCTCCTCAACATTTTCAGTCAACTTGGGATCCCAAAGTGCAATTGCATCTGCTCAGTGCTGCAACACAGACAACTGCAACTCACAGACTCTGCCTGGTAGGTTTCATTGCAAATGTTTGAACAATATGATTATCTGTGTATTTTATTTTATTTATTTATTACTATTATTTTGTATTTATTGATATTGTCAATGTTGTGTTTTAATTCCAGCCCCTACTACTCCGGCTGCAAACTCCCTGCAGTGCATCGTTTGTGACCCCACAACATCTCAGTGCACCACTCCAGTTACCTGTTCAGGAGTTGAGACCAACTGCATCTCAGCAACTTGTAAGACTAGCAAAATACTAACTAATCTTAAGTACATTTTTCTTAATATCAGTGAGAACGAGTATTAATATCTGTAATCTATGCTAGACAGTTAGAAGTTGATTATTAAAAACAATTTTTTCACTGAACAGACAAAGTGGTACTGAGCTGCATTTATAACAAAGATTTAATATAACTATATCCTGCTTTTTACATCAACAGTGAATGACGGAAAAAACACATTTCCTGCACTGGGTTGTGCATCACCAAACACCTGTACAGCTGCTTCAAATCTGGGAAGTTTGCCATTCATGAAGAGTGTTGGTTCAATCACAAGTGGACCAACATGCTGTACAGGCAGTTTGTGCAATAATCCAAGTACAACCACCACAGCTGCACCAACCACTACAACCACCACAGCTGCACCAACCACTACAACCACCACAGCTGCACCAACCACTACAACCACTACAACCACCACAGCTGCACCAACCACTACAACCACCACAGCTGCACCAACCACTACAACCACCACAGCTGCACCAACCACTACAACCACTACAACCACCACAGCTGCACCAACTACTACCACCACTACAACCACCACAGCTGCACCAACTACTACCACCACTACAACCACCACAACCAGTGGTGCCTTTAGCTTCAGACTTGGCTTTCTTCACTTGCTGTTTGTTTGTCTTTATCTTTTAATTATCTAAAGATAAATCAGAGATGTTGCATTTGAAACAAAATTAGAAGAATATGTACATACCACTTTTAACTTGGATTTTAGGTATTCATTAGTATATTATATATGGGATATTAATTTATTTTTCAAGTTGAATAATAATGTATGAATTTATTTTGCATTGATCTGACTCTTGTATTTAAATCTAACAAAAGATAAAATATTATTTCTCAATAATGTATTCTTTTAAATTCTTTAAATGGTTTCCTTGTGCTTTTTAATGTCTCATGTTAAATGAACCTCAATAAATATGAAAAAATGGAAATACAAATTCATAGACGTTTTTGCACCAAATCATATTTAAACTTAGGATTTTGAAATTTTACTTCATTTTCTCAATTAAACAAAATTTTATGGCACTGACCTCTATTAATTAATTTTTCCCTCCCAACTTTCAGTGAAACCAGTGGAAAAAACATTTTTGTTCAATAGCAACAGTTCTTAATTGTGTTAAAATGCTTAAAGGGATATTTTGTGCATAAGGCCAGTTTATAGCACAAATAAGTGATCTTTTACGGTATTGTCCTATGCATATCGTTTATTCTTTGCTGATCATTTTGTTGATTATCAAACAATAATCATGTTCTGTTACTTTGTATTTTTGTGTTTTTATTGTGTAAAGCATTTTACAATGCACTGATACTGAACTATGCTTTACAAATATTTGATTTTATCTCTAGTTTTATCATTATATTTTGCAACATCAGAGAAGTTTATTGCGTAATTTTCACAAGTTGTTGAATCATGTTTAAAGTGCAGTCATGGTTGGTCACTCCCCATGTTAGGGACATTGGACTAGGAAGTAGTTCCTGTGATGAACTCAGTAAATGTGCAGAAACACCAACTGCAGTTCTGGAACAGAGTAAAAGTGTGACTGTGGAACAGGTCACAAAAATAATATACAGACATATCTTCAGTGATTTGCTTTATGTAGTGCTCTCTTACTCTCTCTATACACTGCTCAAAAAAATAAAGGGAACACTCAAATAACACACCCTAGATCTGAATGAATGAAATAAATACGAAAATAATTTCCACCTGTTGTCTATTCCATTTACACAACAGCAGGTGATATTGATTGTCAATCAGTGTTGCTTTCTAAGTGGACAGTTTGATTTCACAGAAGTTTGATTTACTTGGAGTTATATTGTGTTGTTTGAGTGTTCCCTTTATTTTTTTTGAGCAGTATATTTTATAAGTATTCTTATTAGAACCCAAAACGCTTAGCAATTTGGAGAATGATGAAGCTAGAAGCTGAGGGAGCACATCTTGCTTCTTTTTGTCAATTAAGTGAGGTGAACCTCAGTTTGTCCAGTTTCAGGACAGGACTGACAATATAACAATGTGGCAGTTTTTCCTGAATTAATTTGAGGCAAACAAAAAATACCTGCTTTATTGTCTCAGCAAATTACTGAGTATTTCTCACCACACAATAACAACTTTGCCCAAGCACCTAATCCAGTTCTACACCAGGTGGTGATAAGAAGTCTTTCTGCTTCGCTCTTTACATACATTTTGCACACAAAATGTGCAAAATGTACATGTGACACAAGGGTCACATAGAAGCCCATTTGGTAGTCATTAGGTTCAATTCCAGGCCTGGTATCTCTGTATCTTTGGAAAAAAAACCTTCTACTTTGCTCCAAGAGGTTATACAGTTAGGGCCAGAAATATTTGGACAGTAACACAATTTTCGTGAGTTGGGCTCTGCATGCCACCGCATTGGATTTGAAATGAAACCGCTACAACAGAATTCAAGTGCAGATTGTAACGTTTAATTTAAAGGGTTGAACAAAAATATCTGATAGAAAATGTAGGAATTGTACACATTTGTTTACAAACACTCCACATTTTAGGAGCTCAAAAGTAATTGGACATATAAACATAACCCAAACAAAAAAGTTTTTTCTCAATATTTTGTTGCGAATCCTTTGGAGGCAATCACTGCCTTAAGTCTGGAACCCATGGACATCACCAAACGCTGGGTTTCCTCCTTCTTAATGCTTTGCCAGGCCTTTACAGCCGCAGCCTTCAGGTCTTGCTTGTTAGTGGGTCTTTCCATCTGAAGTCTGGATTTGAGCAAGTGAAATGCATGCTCAATTGGGTTAAGTTCTGGTGAATGACTTGGCCATTGCAGAATATTTCACCTTTTTGCTCTCATGAACTCCTGGGTAGCTTTGGCTGTATGCTTGGGGTCATTATCCATCTGTACTGTGAAGCGCCGTCCAATCAACTTTGCAGCATTTGGCTGAATCTGGGCTGACAGTATATCCCGGTACACTTCAGAATTCATCCGGCTACTCTTGTCTGCTGTTATGTCATCAATAAACACAAGTGACCCAGTGCCATTGAAAGCCATGCATGCCCATGCCATCACGTTGCCTCCACCATGTTTTACAGAGGATGTGGTGTGCCTTGGATCATGTGCCGTTCCCTTTCTTCTCCAAACTTTTTCTTCCCATCATTCTGGTACAGGTTGATCTTTGTCTCATCTGTCCATAGAATACTTTTCCAGAACTGGGCTGGCTTCTTGAGGTGTTTTTGGGCAAATTTAACTCTGGCCTGTCTATTTTTGGAATTGATGAATGGTTTGCATCTACATGTGAACCCTTTGTATTTGCTTTCATGGAGTCTTCTCTTTACTGTTGACTTAGAGACAGATACACCTACTTCCCTGAGAGTGTTCTGGACCTCAGTTGATGTTGTGAACTGGTTCTTCTTCACCAAAGGAAGTATGCGGCGATCATCCACCACTGTTGTCTTCCGTGGACGCCCAGGCCTTTTTGAGTTCCCAAGCTCACCAGTCAATTCCTTTTTCCTCAAAATGTACCAGACTGTTGATTTTGCTACTCCAAGCATGTCTGCCATCTCTCTGATGGATTTTTTCCTTTTTTTCAGCCTCAGGATGTTCTGCTTCACCTCAATTGAGAGCTCCTTTGACCGCATGTTGTCTGGTCACAGCAACAGCTTCCAAATGCAAAACCACACACCTGGAAACAACCCCAGACCTTTTAACTACTTACTTGATTACAGGTTAACGAGGGAAAGGCCTTCTGAGTTACTTGCAGCCTTTGGAGTCCATTGTCCAATTACTTTTGGTCCCTTGAAAAAGAGGAGGCTCTGCATTACAGAGCTATGATTCCTAAACCCTTTCTCCGATTTGGATGTGGAAACTCTCATATTGCAGCTGGGAGTGTGCATTTTCAGCCCATATTATATATAAATTGTATTTCTGAACATATTTTTGTCAACAGCTAAAATAACAAAACCTGTGTCACTGTCCAAATATTTCTGGCCCTAACTGTAAGTCGAGTCACTCAATTGAGCTTTTTCAAAGATTGAATTAACAGATTCAGATTTACTTGTATCCCAAATGGGCAATTCATGTTATAGCAAGTACAAAAAACTAAAAGACAAAGTGTCAAAGAAAAAAAACAACAAAAAAAAACATCCCAAAAACTGAGTATTTCAACTGAGTATAAAGACATGAAATACAAATCGATACATAAGGGAAATAGTACAGCAGTGTATTCCTTTATTGGCCTTTTCATCAGCAAAACTGTCTCTCATAATACTTGCAGATTAACAGCAATGCTGTTTCATTTAGACTATCATGAGGTAGAAAATATAGATATATATTATCTATCTATAAATTTATTTATAGATAGATACCAATATATGTCTATATATAGATGGATATCTGTATTTATTTAGATAAATATAAATGTAGATATTTTTATAAATAGATATCCTGTTGTGACTATGATGTAACACGGTTAGATCTGTGGATACACTTCCTTTGCTTGGGTGAATAAACTCTTGCCTAAGATTAGTAGCTGTTAGTGATCAGTAGAACACTGCTTTCACAATCCTGCTTTCAGACTGAAAATGTGTGCTCACAAATTATGGCAGAAATATTCCCCCATATATCAGAATCTGGAGATCCTTTAGCACCCCAGGGCCATCTGCAGTGCTGGCCCGTCCACCAGTGCTGGCCCATCAAATGACTAAATTATTTGAAATGCCTGTTTGTGTCATATGAGCAATTTAAATTGTATGAATATTTCCATCACATTAAGTCATTGTCTGCCTTGAAGAAGTTGTTAGGGTGTGATGAACTTGTTGTCAATGTGAGCGTTCACAAACAAAAACAAGATGTGAAAACATGGCAACACACCCAGTTATTCCAGTTACCTGTGCAGTGTATGAAACTTAAAATGAACTCTCTCTATTGGATTGTATGTGCACCAGGATAATCATCTTTTTTATGACAACTGCATTTTTTTATATATACTTTTGGATCTGATTCTAGGTGGAGCACAAAATGGTTCACCTGCTCAGGTGAAGCATGTCAAGTTCAACAGCAAATCCCTGCCAAATAAGGATGATGTGTGTAAGTAAGTGTTATTATTAGAGGTATTCTTTTCCAGATGTTTTATTTAACATCATTAAATAAAAAAATACACAATTTGTAGACTATGATATCCTGAATGTTTTAAATCAACAATAACAAAGAACAAAGATTCAAGTCAATTCAGTTTATGTATATAACACCAATACACAGCAAATGTTACCTCAAAGCACTTTAAAAATATTTAAATTAAAATCATACTTACCGGTGGAAAGAAATTCAATTCTTTTGAAAGTTTCAGTTGCTGACAACTGTTCTTTGTTTTCTATGACTTTGCTTGTTCATGATGCTCTGCTCACACCTCAACAGCTATTTTTTTATTATTATTTAAACAAAAATGATCCAATTAAATACAATTGATAAAGGGATGTGGATTTTTTTTACATTTAATGGTGCAGAAGAGGATTTTTATTTCTTCCAAAGCAACCTAAATCTCTTTCTCTTTAATTGTGCTTCAAAATTAGAAGAGGCCTAAATGTTAAAGAATTTCTTTTTGATTTCCATAATCAGAATTTGCCATGTTTTGGTTTAGCTTTCTGACTCATGTGCAGAATCAAACATACTCCATGTAAAGGAATTGGATTTATTTTCATCGACAAACAACAATCGTATTGATGAAAGATCTTGGTTTTCTGGAGGATGGTGAAAGGTCACATGGATGGTGGCATCTGGAATGAGAGTGGTGCTGTGAGTGGTGTTAATGCTGACCAGAAATAAAATGATCAAAGAGGACATAACAGCGCTTACTTTAGTGAGGCATGGGGAGCAATAGCCAGGGCCCTGTGTGAAGAATGGATGATTCCAGAAAATGTGAGTAGAGACAGTGACACAGAGAGCCAGAGGTCTGATGGAGCCGGCAGGTAAACGTGCATGTAGAAGAAATAGAGGAACTATTCTTCTTGAAAAGATCAGGTGAGACTAACCTAGAGGCAACATGTAAATAACTCAAAATACCCCATGTAGAAATATTCATGACAATAAGTTAGCTACAAGACTACTATTATTATTTGATAATAGTTGTATATATTAAGACGTTGTGTTATTGTGGGGAAATTTCAAGTTAGATAGTCTGTTAGTGTTTGTTAAATGTGTCAAGTGATCACCCTGTGATGGACTGGCAACCTTTCCTCGTGCGCATTGACCACTCCAGATAGGCACCACCACCCCTTGCAAACCCACTAGGGATAAGTGTGTAATATATCGGATGGATGGAATCCTTGCTCCAGCAGAACCAGTACCAGGCTCAGCACAAAGCAACCATCTGCCACAACTGACTGAGGGTTTGAGAGGAGCTAATGTAGGATTTTTTTCGACAACAACCTTGTCATCCACAATTGCAGTACCTACAACCACAGCCACAGCAACTGATGCTAAGCTTGTTGCTGTAAAGCCCCAACCTGGTGTGGTTCTTCTCGCCCACACAAGAACCATGAGCACCAGACGCCCCCCAGTAATGTGTTCTCTCCACTTTTTTTAAAAAAACAAAAGACTGCACCTCTGCAGAGTCATCTATGGTACTCCTAAAGTCTGGGGCTACTGTAGGTCACCACCAGTGCCTTGGA